ACCGGGCTTCAATTAAGCCGAAATGAGATTGCCCCTCGCGCGGAAGAAAGCACCATGTCACGATCGCGTTTGTGCCTTTCCGAACATCGGAATTGAAGAATTTACGAGTCTGTTGAGCGAGCGAGCATTTGCCCTCCGCTTCCTCCTGGCCGCACGTCACGTCTCATGCACTCTCGCGGTTCCGTTCGGCCGGTCGGTCGAATTTCGTGGCCTCATGTCGCGCCGCCTCTCGTCTCCTTTCGGCCGTACGTCCATCCCGTGCGGATTCAATGTCCATGCAAAGCAAACGGCGGCCCCGGCACGGCTGTCAATTATCTGTTATATACGGCCCTGGCCCTCGAACCCATCCTTAACGACCCCTCAAACTTAGCGGGAGGAGAAAGAGAGAGAAAGAGAGGGAGAAGGAGAGAGAGAGAGAGAGTATAGAAGGAGAATGAACACGTCCCTCCGCCTTGCGCCAAGAAGCACCGAAAATTCACGGGGGCCACGAAGATCGTGAAACGACGTCAGCGAGACGACGAAGAGGACGGGATCGAAGACGAAGAGGCGACGCGAGATGGACCAGGAGGATCTTTCTGAGAATCATTTGATATTCCAACGTTCCCGCCACGTAGCTCGTGGGGTATTCTCCTCCTTTTGTCCTTCTCTCTGTCTCGAAGAGAGCAGATTCGCCCGCGAATAGCGTGCACTGTGTTATACCTCACCGCCAAATGTGTCAGAATTGCAAATGCGTGCGGTCCGACGAAACACGTCGAGTGGCGGTAGCGGCTCGATAGAAACGGAGCGCGAATTCCGCGGTACGAGCTCTAAGATATATTTGAAGACGACCGATGGAGAGGCAGAATGTTGGGGTATAAAGAGACACGAAAGAAACCGTAGGGACAATGGTGTGAATCGCAACCGAAACGTCAAAAGAATGTTAGATCCACTTTAACATGGAAATTTGAGGGAGACCCTATAATTTTAGTCGCATTCTGGACGTCGGCTCTTTGATTTCAACGTTTCTTATATTTTTGTCCAGCAAAAGTTGTGTTTCAATCGCCGTCAGCAATATTCACACAAACATTTAAAACGCCAATTACGTAATATTTGTTAATATTTTACAATACTTCAATTTTACCAAAATTCCCAAACAATTCAGATTTTTATGTCAATTTTTATATTATTTGGCGATATTTTAATCAAGAAAAAGAGAGTAATTTTATCAGTCACAAATGGATACTTAAATAACTTATGATGAACGAAAAGGAGTTATTGGCATCTAAAGCATAAAACGCACGAATCCGTGATTAGAACATTCGAGTTAACGAATATTTTAACAGGTTGAATCAGGCTTGTCCAGAAACGACGGAGCAGTTGAACAGGATGTTAGAGTTAACAAGGGGAGTTATAAGGACTTCATCCCTTTCGCTCGTAAACGCCAACGCCTCGTAATTATAACGAGATGTTTTCTTCGAATATAACGAGCACACCTGATGAGATCGGAAAGTAATAGCTCGAAGTGCTAGCACTTTGGATCAGTCCTTGTTAAGTTGATACCGATGTGCCGCAAATTAATCGAACAGTTTAATTAGCTAATATAGATGTAGATAATATTTCTTGTAAAATTGTGTAATCACGTCGTACATGAAGTATTATCGCGATAACGAACCGATTAGTCGTAAACATGAATATCGTTACATCTCGCTAACAGAAATGTAAACTAATTTTTTATATCACTAACCTGAGATTTGAAGCGGTCACAAACTTCGAGATTGACTATAATTTTATCGACTATGAGGTTCTTCTTTTCACAGCCAATCTTGGAAAGATAATACACGATGATACTTGAATTTCGACCTTGAATCCGACGATGCAAACGCGTGCAAATGATGCACTATCACACAAAAAATTTATATCGTCACGATAGCGTTAGAAATCGAGAAAATTAACCGCGTGTGACAGTCTGCCGATTCTCGATTGTCTTAATATATTGTTGTTTAACGTACAGGATGACCAAAAATGTCATATACGTCATATGTATCTAATAATTAAATGCGTTTCATTAATCGCATCATTAATCATATCATTAATTTAAAAAATTAGTTAAAGGTAATTATGTCATAATATTACAAATATTGAAAAAATTTTACCGAGAATAAAATAAAAGAAAACAAACATGGGAAGGAATGTGAGGCAAAGTTTTTTTCAATATCGTTCGTCATTACGCGGGTATCATCCTTCATCTCTTTTCTCGATATCAAATCGCGATATAGCGGATGTGCTCACTTGAAAAATTGACTCCACCTGGCCCCGCACACGCCGGATGAGATTGCCTTCGTAATTTCTCCACGGCTGGCCTCTACGAGCCGCGCTTCTTTAAAAGCACCACGCGATTGAACGCGCGCCTCGCCGATCCGCCGAAGGTGCGTCGCCGGCCGGATAATGGCTTATTAACAAAGCGTTGCCGTGGAACGCGGGGAAGTGACAGAGAGGGGCCTTGACGAGAATCGTACGAAGGAATCGAGAAGAGAGACGCGGAGGGAATGCGAGAATCCTGACGCCGGGAGTCGAGTCACGGGTTACTTCGACGCCTTCGTAGAAAGGGCTCCAACACAACGGGGCTTTAATTACGCCGATATCACGGTAATTAAGCTGATCAATGCGTGCCATTGTGCGCTGAGCGGAGGGTCTCAGCGCTTCTCCCGGTTCCTATCCACAATCCCGACCACGAACCTCCTCCCGCACGCCACAAAAGCACTCCACCCTCCGTGGAGATATAAGGACGTATCCTGCCCGCAGTCGAATCTTCACCGCGACCACCTCGCCGCCGCGCCGCCGCCGTGGAAAAGCCACGACAAAGAACGGGGAGGAGAATAAACACAGTGACTCTTCCGATCCCGTCGATGATACGCAAACCGTTGGACCTTCTACCGGCGCGGGCGACGCGAACGTCGAGCACGAAGAACCACCGCGGCCGCACAAATGGATCCCTCATGGGGAGATTATTTCGTTCGATCGTTCGACCAGATCCGAGACTGATGGAATTCAATGGAGAGGAACGCTTCGCGCGGCATTGTTTCTACGCCCCTCAATCTTTTTAATCCGTTAAAGTATAATGACCGCGCACGAATATCGTTCGGTTCTTTTAATGCATCTTGCCTAATAGCGATTGTTATAATTTGTAGATAGATTTAAAACTCTCTTATATATTCTTGTATTCGATTTTTATTTAATTATTACGTGCAACTTTCCTATTAAACAAACATAAATCAGGATTGAGATATTAGCTTTAAATTAAATACAACACTTCCTTACAAAACGTTTAGTGCGTTTCATTAAGAAAGTTACTCACAGTAATTTGTAAAAGTATATTAAAAGCGCCGTGTTATTTCCGTTCTATCATGATGAACTACATTTATCTCTAATACTAAAATTATGAATGTACTATTCCGCTTGAATATCTGTTTGCATATCCTAGATTGATATGCAGTTCACATGAAACATGTCGGAATGCCTAGTAGCAACGTATGGATAAAGCCATTAGTTATTACAGGTTGCGTGCGATTCATGTTCGAAGAATTTCCTATATCCTCAAGCTACTATACTACAATTATGGTAATCAAATAAGAAAAAAAAAGATACATTCATCTAATATCTCTCTAATATTTCTGTGTTTCGATAATTTACCATGCGGCCAAAAATATCGGGAGAAAGCTTAACGAATAATCATTCGCTATATCTATCGATTTTGAATTCTCTGTTAAACCCCGTCTTACGGCATAGAATTTCACCTTACACAATCATCGTCTTTCGAAGTAATCATTGTTTGACGAGCTACGCAAACCTTAAAGGCATATATATATATTTTTTATGCTACTCACTCGGAAATATGGAACGCTATACATGGTAATGTTTCTCGATTTTCTTGCCTAGCTCATGCGCAATCACGTTATGATCTCAGGTGCATGTTTGTTTCTTTCATAAAGAAATATATCCCATATATACCTATGCATCAAAAAATTTTGAATTAATAAATGTATTAAATTGCACAAGCTTTCATCTTATACATCATATAGCAGAATACATTTATTATCTTATTTATGTCAAAATAAAAAATTCTCGTACATATATGTACTTATAATTCTCGTTATCTGCTACACATTCCACATTCCATACGCAAATATTTTCAAGAGTACCTATATTTCAAAGCTTTTGATAATTCATTTCTTTAATTAACGCATGGATGTTGTTGTTTGTCAAGTCTCTTGTTCATTAAATTCTTGTACGAGACGCAGGAAGCGATCTAACTGAGCGAGGAAGAAAGAAGGCGCATTTGTTTGCTACCGCCCATACAGTTTCCAGTGTTTGTCGTAAGAGTTAGGACACTGAACGTCTCTTTGCGAAGACCCGCTTCATCCGGTGTTCCCCACTGTTTCAAGCAAGAAAAATGTTCAGAGATGCGCCGACTTTGTTCCTCACTCTTTTTGATTTTAACGTCTGTTTGCCCCGCCATTTCCTGAAACATGTACCCGTGGAGACAGACTGGATGCATTCGATTTTTTTCCACAACTGCGCAGGGATATGATGGGGATTCCATTAGTCATGTTTACTCGGGACTGTCAGAGCATTGGGACACATATAGACTAGCAGAATGTAAACCGCAGCAGATTACGCTTAGCAATTCATTTTTATAGAATTAATTTTAATATGATTAGAAAAGTTTGTGAAATTTCTTATTAATTGTAACTATTATTAGTTATAATTAAAATAGAGAAATCAGAACTATAATACGTGAAAATAATTTCTCAGGTATCTATTTAAAATTAAGTTAAAGAAACGCGCAATAAGTCCAACGGTGCATATATAAAAATATATTGTACGTTTCGTATAATCATAAAATTTTTACAATCAAAGACAATTTTTCATTAAAACCGAAAAAGTGAGGAACGCAATTCGTGCATTTTTAAACACATTTTCATGTTATGTGAATTTGCATTGACCACCTTCTTCATTTTTAGGTTACAGTCACCGGTTCAACCACGACAAGTACGAACACAGTCCATCCTAGTGTAAACGATATGGACTGGTTTGCCGGTGTCGCCGAAGAAGAATTATTGTATTATACCGGCGTCGGCAACGACGTCGATTCCCTGTGGGCTGTTATTGGGAGTTTTGTACCGCCACCACCTAGACCACCTTATCTACCCGAAGAGAGCATCGCCACCGATGGGCTCACCACCTGCGATTTGTGTTCGTGGGCATGGAGAAACGATAGGCATTCTTTTTCCCTGGACGGCACCCTTGGTAAGTCTTATACATTTCTCGTCGTACTAGATTTTTATCGCTTTTTTTTCTCGTTCGGAAAATGTGCTGGTTATTTTTAATTTAACCATTTATTATACAAGCATAATCAAAAACAACAAAATCTAACATATAAAATCTACGCGAATAAAAGCCAGTATATAAGCATAACATAAAATAAAATTATATATATTAAAAAAAAATAAATCCCGTGATTATCATTTTATTAAATAAATTTAAAAATAAATAAGTAAATTTTGAAAAATTCATGAGTGTGAAAAACTGTGAAGAACTCTTCCTTTCATAAAATAAAACTACTTATATTTAAGTATGATTTCGACACTAAAAAAAATAAAAACGTTTAATTCTGTCAACTCATTCTGTCTTACACCGTTAACTTTCAAACGCCGAACTTTATTAAATGTTTTAATTGCTCCACATTAGGTCACTCGAACGCAATCCAAGAATTTTCTATCCGGCACGAGGAAAAATACTATCGAAATATGTTCGCTTCAAATAATGTGGCGTTCGTCATATGCTCTGTCAGTTTTTCTTGTCATCACTTCAGCTAGTAGTTCTCGAAAGATGACGAGTGGTCTTTCGAGCCATGCATCTGTCCACATCAGAACCGAGGGTTATTCCTCGTATACACACTCAACCATGTTTGCAACGTGTTTATTCGTCAAACAGCTTTTCCAGTCTAGTACGTGCTTCAAGATTTGGGGAGATCCCTCTCGAATAAACGTCAACGAAGGTTCATTGTAACGATGCTGTGAAATTTCTATTCCTCTATAGGAACCCTCACGAATATCAAGCGCGTTAGATTCTCTTCTAATTATCGTTATGCCGCACGCGTACAAGTTTTTATTTCATATATTATTCCAATATAATTTCATTAAAAAAATAAAAATTATAAACGATGTAAAAGTTTTTTTATTGGAACGCTAAACGTTAATTATCTAGCAGCTCGTGGTTAAATTTGTAAGAATATCTACATACTATGACTTGGTTACAATCTTCTTAGATATCTTTATTTCTCACTCCGCTTGCCGCACGCAGAAAGTATATGGAGATTTTCATTATTCCGGATTGTGCTCCAAATCAAAGGTTGGACACAAAATAAACATCGGCGCGATTATAAGAGAGATCGTTATTACGAGCACACGAGATGACCGTCTTAAGCACGATCATTAAACGTAATGATAAGTAATGCAAACATGGCGTACATAGTACGTGCCGCATTTTTTGCCACCTTCGTTGTTCGCGATTTTTGTCACATCTTAATTGCAAGAGCACAAAAAATGCATTTAATACAGTTTTACATGATGGTAATATTACTTTCTCATTCATAATTACATGCTAAAAGAAACGGAAAATAGTAATCCTGCTATATAAAAAACGGAGGCAGATTAAAAAATATTAAAACCGCAGCAAAATCATGGAAAATTGCTATGCAAGATCGCTAGAAGCTTTATGCTTTTCTGTTCCTTATCTCTCGTTTTACTTATTTCTCATTTTTCATCTATATTAATCAGCAGCTGTATTAATTCTCGTAACGGAGATATTGCTAGAACCATTACGGTCATATTTTAAAGCGGAAGCACGAAGCCAGACATTAATTGTGCATCAATCAAATATTTTTTTATTAAATTCGACTTCAAAATGGAGGAACTCGATCAAAATATATTAATGAGTGAAACGAGATAACAATTGTCGATTATAAAGAATTCGACGGACCTCCCTGAGTTCCCTATCGTAACGTGTAAACTGCAAGGGATAATTCTCGGATGCTTTCCCCCAACGTAGGCCGACCTTCACATCCGGTTGATGTGCCCCGACCAATCAGAAACACGCCGGTCCCGCTCCCATGATTCTCCCCTTCGGGATCGGTGTTCGCACGTACGCACGAAACGTACAAGTTTCTGCATCATGACACGCGGTGCCTTCCCCACTCCTCCGGTGGGCCTTCTTCAGGGGCCTCGCCCCTATCCTCTTCCGCCCCGCGGACCCCGTCGTTCGGGCACGCATTATCGCCATTACCATGAATTCCCGCAGTTATTACGCCTCTGTTGCACCGCCACCAAAATGGCGGCTGGGTGCATCCTACCGTGCGAGGAGGACGCACTCCTCGTCTGCTCCTCTTTTTATTGTGGCGCCTGCGCTGCTGGCATGTCGTGCTACGTTATACCGCTCGACAATTAACGTCGAGAATGGCGGCGGTCGACGGTGGGGATAATTGACCCTGTCAGGACTATGACAGCACTTTTACACTGCTGCATGATTCGCTGGGTCAATCTCCTCTCGTGCTTTATATTTTGTATCGGATAGCCATAGCGTATTTACGGTCGCGATGAAAAAGCCGAAGTTTTATATTAGATCCGAATCTAATCCCGGCCCTTGATCATTCGACGCCTTTGTTTCCGACGACGATAAAATCGTTTGATACCTCTTGCAAGTTCAATCACAATACCAACGGATACTCTCTATGCGTGAATAGAGACGTAACATGTAACCGTTTATGAACTCCGAATGAAAGTCGTTAGTCATCACGCCATCGTCATACCAATTAAACCTTAATTATTATCACGTTATAACTTGTTGTAACACATGGGAAAAATTTCCTCGTTCTATTATCTTCATAAACGCACGCGTCATGTACTACACGGCTTGTGAGAAACATGTTTCGAGACGCGCGACGCGACGTCCTCGTCGCCAAATCACAAAGTAGTATGGCGCACGAGTGGAACCCGGCGGTAAATAAAGAAAATAGAATCGGAGCAAGAGAACGGTGCATCAGGGGCTTCAAGGAGGCTGGCAACGGCGGTAATCATCGCGTCACTTCCTATCCTTCACGACGTAATAATTACGAGATCGCGCCTCTTACTCTCGACATGATGCAGGCCCCGTGCTTGTCGACGAGGAAAGACAACGAGGAAGACGGGGAGATCGGGACCGGCAAAGAAAACAGAGGAGAGAACGGACTTAATGCGAGCTTACGAGTATCTTTCGGTCTTTTGCCTCGTGTCGACGTAGGCCGCACGATTCGGCGTGACTTCAACAGCGAGCAATAACTCGTACATTTCGCACTCGGAGATCTGCGCGAAGGTTCGTTAACGCTCGACGAGGGTGGCATTTATTATGAACGACGAGTAAAAATGTTTCACACGGAGAGCCAGTAAGAGATTCGCAAATATAAGAACAAAGGGTGATTAATTACTGTACCCTGAAGGAACGTTCCACTCAGGGAAATGTATCAAGTTAACAAGGAAAAGTAGTTCGAGTGTTATTTATTATGTTTTCAAGTAATAGTGAACGTTCAAGTTCAAGGCTTGTAAAAAAAAGACTAAAAAAATTCTACAAATTTGAATTTTTACGAATATTTTTGCTATCTTTAAGTATCTATATTAAGTTTGCTATCTTAATAGTTTGCAAAAGAATGTAATATTCTTATAGTCAATTCCACAACATATTTTAATTATTATATAAATTAATATGTCTATAATTTTACGGATTTTTAATAAATATTTAAAATAAAGCAGATAAATAAATAAAAAATAAATAACTGTAAAAAAATCATAAGCGTCTGTTTTAACTATATACATAATCATACAGAAAAATGACCTTCCATTATGGATTTATGAATACTTTTGTCGGACTCTAACATTTGCCTTTCATTGTGTTAGAAATCTCGTGTTCCAGAGCGGTTAATCTCAGCGCTTTGCGTCGGAATATAAATCGATTTAATAATGCTCGACGCATAACGGCGCGTGTATAAATCGCCGGACATTAATTGCACCGCGACATTAAGCAAAGCGTACTACGCTGCACAAAGCGACTTAGACTTTATTCCCGAGAAAATAAGAAATAATGCGCATAAAGTTGCGACATGCAAATCAATCACGTTCAAATGCTCACAGTCCATACGCTAAGACATTAATAATGGCATTAATTGTAACAGAAACTAATCGAACTATTTAGAATTAATATCTTAATTTTTTATCTATTTATTTTATCTAATTATTTAGATTGATATCTTCATTGCTTTATCCGATGCGAGGAGACAGAGTTAGAATTTTCTGCAGTATAATAAAAAGTAAAACCCTCCCGTAAATAATGGAAAATCGTACATCTAATTCATGCTATACGCCTGTGAGCACATTTCGCTATTTTCACGGTACGATAACCAGCAGGTAGCCGTACTCTCTCGCGTATATCCGTACTGGATCGATGTTATCTCGTTGCGTATACGCCTGGACCAAGGGAACGTAACGAAGTCTCCCTTAGTCCAACGGTAAGCATCTCCTCCGTCTCCTCTTCTTCTTCGCCGTCCACGTCGTCGTTCCCCCCGTTCCTCTCGACGCCTTCCTTTTTCGACGAGCCACAGTGTCGGGCATTCGCTGCGACGAAAGTAAGCACCTTCGCGCCTGTATATCGCGCGATGCCGACGAATGCAAACGAGAACGAGTAGCGAGGGGGTCCCGTGCGCGTGAACGAAAATTTCATGGGGTAACCATCGAGTCCCACCTTCCCGCCTCTTTATGTGCCCTGAGCCGTGCACTTTTAATCTAAAAGCCGATCTCGCCCACGTAGATTTATTGGCAGGGCCGGCGAAGCGACGTATTCGAGTAGTGCGTAGGCTACCACTCGTGCGCGATTTCCTTCGATCGCGAGCACGTGATTGCAAGCGTACGAATTTAACGTTTGTTGCGCTGTTTCACGAAAAACAGAACATTTTTTAATTTAAAGAGAATCCAAAAACAGGATAAAATATCACATCACTGTAGATTAATCTATCTGCCTCTTAAAGAAAAAATCTATGTAGATGCTGAAATTTTTATGACAATCTTATTATTCGCGGCAAGACATGAATTAGATAACTACGGATATGCACAATTAAACATAATGATAATTATATATAAATATATAAATATATAACAATTAAAGTAATTTAAATCGACCGTGACTGGCAATATATAACGTCTTTTCAAGATGAACATTGAAAA